TGCGCTGCAGGCAGTGTGTGGTCGCGCGTCTGCGGGGGAGGGGGGGGGGGGAGCCGCAAAAACTCGAACTTAAAACTTACACTCACTATTTTCTTCGAAAATATATGTGAGTTCCGCAAAAATTCAACAATTTGTATCTAACAACGAAATAGAATTATATGAAAGCGCTGGATATCATCATCAGGTTGAAGGTGATTATCCTCTCTATTCTCACGTTTGTTCTATATTGGATTCATCAATGTTTGGAATTTTTCAAAGTCAAATTGCTGATGAAATTGCAAGCAATACAGATTTAGTTGATTCTGATGATATTTTGATTCATATGAATAAAATAATTCCACAAATATGAAAATCAGATAAATACAAGAATATTGCAAAAAATCACGTTGATGAAACGTAAAATAATAAAAATGTACATGCTTTTTTCAGTCCTGACTGTTATGATATCAAATATTTAAAAATTCTGTTTGAAAATAAATATATAAAATCCAATAAAAAATTCATGATTAGTATTTTATTTTTGAAAGATGATGATCGCGGTGGATTTTCAAAAGGCAACGCAGATGCTATTTATCGACAACGTCGTTTGCTCAATGAATTTTCACCCGATCTTCTATTAGTTTTAAGTGCTGATCATGTTTACAAACTTGATTATCGTGATGTAATCGATTTTCATAAAGAACATCAAGCTGATGTAACTATAGTTACAACAAAAGTGCCAGAAGGAGATTCACTTTCACGTTTTGGAGTTGTTCAAGTTAATGATGAAGGTCGTGTTGTCAATTTTGAATATAAACCAAAACAACCAAAATCTGATCTTGTAGCAACTGAAATATTTGTTTTTAATTTTCCTAAATTAATGACTGCACTTGATCATGTAGCTAATAATACAGAATTAAAAGATTATGGTGAAGATTTATTACCAGCATTAGTTCAAGAAGGAAATTCTTGGGAATTTCGTTTGAATAGTTATTGGAGAGATGCTGGTATTCCAGAAAGTTACTGGAAAGCAAATATGGATTTACTTTCATCAAAAAAAGAATTACATTTAGATGATCCTGAATGGCCTATTCTTACACATAGTACAGTAAGAAATTAATCTTATTTGAATATATTTCTTATCGATAATGTAATATTCTATTTAAGCAATGCTTACCAACACATATACTTGATTCAGCTCGTTTTGAAAATAGTCTTATTTCACCTGGTTGTATCATTGGTGGAACGATTATTCGATCAATTGTAGGACCAGGTTGTGTGGTCGATAGAGGAGCAACTATACGCGATTCAATTCTTTTTGATGAAGTTCATGTAGAAGAAGATGCAGTAATTGTACGATCAATTATTGATGAAAAAGTTGTTATTGGTAAACGAGCAACAATTGGTCTTGGAGAAAAAAAAGAATTGACTATGATTGGTACAAAAGTTAAAATTTCACAAGGTTCAAATATAGCAGCTGGAGAAAGAATTCATGCTGAAAAACCAAAAGATTAAATTTTGTCTGTACAAATATTGCTCTTTATTTTAGATTATTAGATTCGTTTCTTTTTTTTATTTAAGAACTCTTCGTTCAACGCATAAAATCTCATTTTGTATCTTCTCAATTTCAATTGTAAAGAATACTTTCACTAATAACAAGTGTTTATTCATTTGAATTGTTTATTTCTATAAAAGAATGTCGATTGTTTTTTTTCCTTCAATAGTAAAATATTGAAAGACACATATTAATAAACAATATTTATTATCATATATTATTCTGTTTCGTGGTCAATATTAGGGCAATAAAAGCCAACAGAAATCAGCATCTTTTACTATCAAAAACAATAGAAAACCGAAGATCATAAACTTAATCTTCTAATTTTAAATTCAACCTCAAGAAAAATGTTTCATTTATTCTTGAACATTAATAAACAAAAATAAAAACAAATGTAAATTGTTTTTGCATTGAAGCTGAATAAAATTTAATAAGTGATAGTAAATATTGATACGGATGATGAAAAATATTGATTACCTGCAAGAAAAGCAGATGTGATGTGTTTTGTCAATGTGAAGCATGAATATAATCAAACCAACGTGAGACTAAGACATTATTGGGAACACAGCAATCAAAAACAATTAAGAAAACCATTCTTGAACAAAATAAAGGCATTAAAATGGTCGAACTATGAGTATAGAAGAAAATGAACAAAAATCGAAATGACAAGCTTAATCGAATGTTAATCGACGATTTTATAAGAAAATCTAAGAACGAATACAAGTCAAGATCTAATCGGAGTAGCGTTATAAAAAAGTTAAACAAGCGGGTGTTCGGTGGGTGTGGGCAAAAATAAAACTGACACTCTCACACCCACACACCATCCTAAGATTTATACATATTTTGCTGGCGTGCTTGTTTTTCAATCTAGTTCTTCAAAGTACATTTTCGTTGCAACAAAAATAATAGAAACATTCATTGTTTATCCTTCCTTGGCGCTCTCTCTATCGATCTATCTACTGTTCAAAGGTCGAAAAGTAAAAATCGACAGATTTATTCTCATATTGGAAAGGGTGTATGTGGAGATCTTCGCCGCACCCACGCCTACACCCCGCACTCAACAGTTTAGTTTCAATAGAATATCAACGTCAAAAATTTATGATATTGATCAACTTTATTTAAAAAAAAACTAAACAATTAAAAACCCATTCCCCGATATGGCTGTCGGTATGATTCTTGCTTTCAGATACATCTATACCCACACCTTCATTTGCATGTTTATTTGAATTATTCTGATTTTTTCTTATTTTATTTTTATTCAATGTTCAGAATTCTTTTTGGTGATTGAGAACATATTGTATTGCTTTGAGAAGACGAATACTACGCTGATCAATACTGAATCCGCTTGTATCGAGTTGATTGCACACATGTGCATACGACAATTGATCTGGTGGATAAGCTAAAGCGCAACTACCACCAAAACCTGTTAACAATTGTAAATAGATGCATTTATCCGAACTACATATACTTAGAAAAAGACCGATGAAAATTTTTTGACCTCCCAAAATATTATTTTCTTTTAGAGAGTGTCGTCAGCATAGATTAAATATACTCATTCTTGAATAGGAAATTCAGAATCGAAATATTTTACCGTTATGGCCAAAGACTTTGTCACCGAATACATTAAAAATCTCTCCATAGACTTGAAATCCACCTTTTCCGAATGCTGTTTTAATGGTTGGGACAATTCGATCTGTCTCTCCCACTGGTGTAATATTTTCAATGGCTTGTGACAATGTTTTCTCACTCAAAAGACGTTCGATGTTTTTTCCATTTTCATAGATATCACCCATCAGTCGGGCATAAATACGTGCCACGGAACGAGCATTGGTGATTGCATTGACAGCAGGCAGCTCAGCTTGGTGAATTTGAGCCTCATTATAAATGATTCCACTACTATTTTGATATGGTCCAAGAGGAAAGGCACCACTACATGTTAACGTTTTTTCAGATAGTGGATCCAATGAATTTACGACGTCACTATTTTTATTATTAGCCTTCAACAAAAAAATAAAAAATTTTCCTTTCCACTGTCTGAAAGATGATAAGATATTTTTAGAGAATTCTCTCACCACATTCGTACTGCTCATTAGTGTTTCGCGAGAGAATTTGAGTCAGCTGACCTTTTTCACTAACCTGTTTTCGAATGAGAGGAGCAACACGGGCTTCAATTATATCATCAGATACACCTATGTAACATTGATCATCCAATTCCTCACGAACGAATTGGCCATAAGAACGATGTTGAGGATCAACACATCGTATTAATTCTCCGACAAGAAATCCAATAGTGTGACCGTGATATCCATGTGTTGATCCAGGATCCCAATGAGGCTTTTCAGCAATTAATAAGGATATCATTCGAGACCAATTGCAAACATCCTCAACTGTTAATTGTTGATCAATGTATGGCAGACCAGATCGATGAGATAGAAGATCGCTCAATAAAATATTCTTCAAGAAACGAGTTTATTTTGCTAAAAAGAATGACTATGTCTTACTTCCTTTCCGTTTTGACCAAATTGTGGCCAATATTTAGTAACAGGTGCATCGTAGTCAAGCCAGCCTCTCTCGACGCAAAGGGCCACTGCAGCAGCCATTATTCCTTTTGCTGTTGAAAAAGTAAGCTGAAGTGTATCGTCTGTATAGGGCTCTTTCTTCGTCTTTGCATCCTTCCATCCACCAGACAAGTCTACTACACATTTTCCTCGATGATAGACACATAAACTTGCGCCAATATCGAGTCCCTCGTTAAAATTCTGTTCGAAGACCGACCGTACACATTCCCAACCAGGCGATATATAACCACGCACGTTGTTCTCCTCACTTGGCATTGAAGGTAACTGACAGTCGATTACACTCTCGAGCTTTTTCTTTCTGTTCTATTCGTGCGATAGCACACAAACTGATATCAAATTGCTTCGTTGCACTCGATACTCCGAATGATAAGATATAATTGATGAGAAGCTACTACAACACGACGAATTGCCACGGCAAGAGAATAGATTTTATTGGTTACAAAATCAACCAGCCAGAAAATTGCTAGAATACACCTATTATCATACAGGACAAAAAATCGGACATGGTTCCAACTAACAACCGAACCATACTAAAAGGTGCTATGCGACTTAAAGACACTTCGAGTATCTTTAAGACGCATAGCATTTTCTAGATTGACATTATATATCACAATTAACCTGATGCGCTTTCCTTCATCTTCTGTCTTGGCGCTCAGTTCACACATGAAACTGTCATATCCCCTATTAGAAAAAAGACACATTTCAGCCATAAAATATTTAACAATGACTAACTCAGAATATCACAAACAAGTTTCAATCAACAGATGTTCATGACAAACGGTATGAAATTTGTTTTTTGCTTCATTAAAACCTGTCGACTATCTCTGTATGATTTTATTCCATGCAGAAAGGCCTCTTTATCAAGTTAAATCACTGCGAGCTGATTTGAAAAATATTTGTAGCATATGACGCAGTGAACAGCTGTTCTTATAGACAGTTGAAGACTTATCTGTTCTTCTTAAGACTACTACAGTGCCATCCGAAGTACTTCTTTTGATGAAGAATTTAATTCTCTATCGAATAAGTCTATTCCAACTTCCTGGCTATGGGTCGATCAGATAATATAAGAAAACAAAGTTGGCAAACACTATGGTAAATAGCTGACCTAAGTGAACATTACGAGCAAAGTTTTTACTCTTCAAAATCAGGTCTGGGTCTCATTAGGACTTAATTCGACGTAGAATTAAATTCTACATCAAATGAAGCTACTCAGAGATCGCGACAATGGATCATTCTAACGAGATCGACAAAACATTTTGTTCCTGTGACCATGAATACGAACGATTAACGAACATTGAGGCAAATTCCGTCGTCTTCAGAACTAAATAAGGGACTCAGAATGGCTTCAGTCGGTGTAGAATGGAGTTCTACAACAAATGCTGGTGCTTTGATGGGTCGGCAATATATCTACCGGTGGCACAAAATAATTTCCCTCCTTTAAGCTCTTTTCAGTGGTACCGTGGTATAACTTTAAGGATAGAATGGGTTCGTGCTATTGTAAGATTCTGGAAGTGTATATACTGGAAAAGGCAAATGTTCTATGCCTTCATCTAATACCGAGTGTTTCTCTCGGTAGAAGCAGTTTTATTGGTAATGAGTTTTGTTACTCTTTGATGATTTAGAAATTGCGTTTATTCTAGTAGATTCGGGTTTTAGTCAGTTTTGTGGGAAAATGCTCCGAGTTACTAGAGAAAATATGTAGTTATTTTATGCTCAAGGGTGTGGGTGTGAGTGTATCGTACCTAAAAATTCTTCACAGGAAACAAGTAAGCCGTTAGAAAAAGTTTCTGCAGAACGAATATAAATCTCCTTCGTCGTTAAAATAACTTATTTTGCTTGTGAGCACTGCCAGCCTTTGCCGCACTCGTAGCCACGCCACTAATTTCAGAGAAGATTTTTTTTTAAACTGGACATGTTTATGTCAAAAATGAAATTTGGAGATGAAAGTCGAACAAAATAAACCCTTGAAGTTCAACAAAGACACAGTTCAAATTGCAATTGAGTATGGCTGACTATACGTTGTAACTTTGATTTGATCAGGATGCGAACTTCTGTAGGCTGCCTATAATAAAAATACAAAGACTAAAAATAAAACTTGTCCTTGAACTTGTTCTAACTCGTCGTTACATAGTGGGTCAATGATTGACAATAACAAAACTGATGTTTCGAATGATGGCATAATCCTACTGAATGCTTGTATTGCAAAATCAATTCCATGTTGCTTTAATGACATTTTTTTCTTCTATAAGGATTACCTTTTTTGGAGAAAAAATAATTATTTAGGTAAGTGTTGGAGCAATATCGAATTTTTATTTATCAAAAGATCACGTCTTGCACTTCTTAATTTTCAACGAATGCGAAAAACATTACCTATTCATTAGATAAAAAGATGGATGCCGCCACTATTCTATCTCATTTCAATGCAAGCGATGGTTTCAGCAATTATTCATTGTTTCGTATTCGTTCTATTCAGGTAATTCTAACAGCTATTTTCCCCTATTCATCTAATGTTGAACAATCTTCTTTTTAAGCTTTACAGATTTGATACTTGTTTCGTTTTACATGTTCTGATATTAATTTAGTATGCTGCTAGTTCAAGTGAAATCTTAATTCTGCCATGGAATTTCTCAATATGATCGATGTTCACCAAATAGTGCGTGTGCCTGTTTTCATATAGCAGGTGCTACTGATATTGGCATTTGTGTTGATCAATTCATGAATTGTTCTGAGATAGTTACATGCGAACACTCAAACAATCTTTGTTGTGAGCGTAACTATAGATGTATGCATCATCCTCAATGTCATAATCTTCCTGTTTGTTATCCAGTGCCAAGTTTCAATCGACAACTCTGTCCACCAATAGCAAGTAAGAGAACAAACAGTGATCTACAGGTTCAAGTGAAACTGGATGTTTTTCTCAAAATTATTTCTTTATCGTTCACACACTCTCACATATGTAATTCATATTGGTGTAGAAACAGTAAGGAAGAGCCTAAAAGCCTTTGAAAAATAGATAAAGTATGGTAGAGACCAAATGAATTGTAATCATAGAAGAAAATGCTTCATCTCTTCTCATAGATCACATCCATTAATTTGAAATAGAGAACCAATTGAATTTATATCCATCAATACACGAAGACACAGTGAACTTTTGAATGTATATTAGAGACTTCAAAAAAATTGAACAATTAATCATTCGATTCGATTCCATTCTGTAGAATTTGTCATATGTTACGATCTCCATTAGAGCACATCGATTTTATTGTGTCACGTTTCTCTTTATACTCTATGATAAATACTGATCCTAGGCACCAGCCCCGTCACAATTGCTCGAGTTAGAACGGAGTTATAATAGGTAGTAGTCATGTCCCTTGTGAAACCTATAATTCGAGAAAAAAAAGATCTTTTGAGTCGGTCAACATCTCATTGTGTAGCACTCTATTCTAGCTATCTACAATATAAATTTCAGTGAAGTTCATCGAGTCGTTGCAGAGTTATAACCATTTTACTGTAATCATTGATGTACACGAAAACCATGTAATGGCATTATGAAATTCATAACTCAGTGAAAGCTTAATGGATCCATGTGAAATTTTCAGGAGATGTTCCCTAACAGTTGCCCATTATTTCCTGAAAG